AGCCACCACGCCTGGCCAATTGTCAATTTTTTAAATGTTCACATGTCAGTGACATTTATAGAACACTCTAAACAACATCAGAATACATGTCTTCCTCAAGTGCACATGGACATTCACCAACATAGATCATATTTGGAGCCAAAATAGAAATCTCAAAAATTTTAAAGACATAAAAGTCATTCAAAGTCTCTTTTCAGAACATAGCAGAATAAAACTAGAAGTAAATAACAGGTATCTGGAAAGTCTCCAAATATTTCAAAATTAAACAGATTTCTAAATTTTCAAAGAGGAAACATTATAGGAAATTTAAAAATAATTTGAAAGAAAATGGAAATACAGCACACCAAAATATGTGGGAAGCAGCTTAAAGGGAAGTTTGTTGCATTAAATGTTATAAATAATTAGAAAAGAAAAATTATTACTACACCTACCTTAACAAACTAGAGGGGGGGAAAAAGCAAAGTAAACTCAAAGCAAATAAAAGGAAGGGGATATTAAAGATTACAGCCTAATTCAATAAAATTTGAAACCAAAAATAATAGAGAAAAAGCAGTGAACTAAAATCTTATTATTTGAAAAGATCAATAAAAGTTTAAAAAAAGAAACAAATTGCTAATATCAGGAATAAAAGATGGGTTATCACACTCACTTGCACAGATTTGAGCAGGATAATAAAAGAATACTGCAGACAACTCCATTCTGTGAATTTGACAACTTGGATGAATGGGCAAATTTTTTGAAAGACCTAAACTACCAAAATTCAAGCAATAAGAAATAACCTGGGCCGGGCACAGTGGCTCACGCCTGTAATCCCAGCACTTTGGGAGGCTGAGGCGGGTGGATCACGAAGTCAAGAGATCGATACCATACTGGTCAACATGGTGAAACCCCGTCTCTACTAAAAATACAAAAAATCAGCTGGGCNAAAAAAAAAAAAAAAAAAAAAAAAAAAAAAACCCGAATAGTTATGTATCTATTAATGAAATTGAATTTGTGATTAAAAACCTTCCAAGATGGAAACCCCACACCCTGATAATTTCCCAGGTAAAATACCAAACATATAAGGAAGAAATTCTAACTATTCTATACAAACTTTTCCAGAATATACAAGAGGAGGAACGTTTTCAACTCATTTTATTAGGCCAGCTTTGCCCAGATACCAAAGCCAAAGATATTACAAGAAAACTGGAGACTAGTATTCCTTACGGAGTTAGAAACAAAAATCATCAACAATATATGGGGGAATTAAGCAATATGGAAAAAGGATATCACAATAGGGTTCATCTTGAGAATATGAGATGAATTTCCAGTTCATCTTTTGAAAATCAGTTACTATAGTTGACTATAATAAGAAAATAAACATGACTATTATTTCATTAGATGCAGAAAAGCACTTGGCAAAAGTCACCATTCATTCACGTTAACGATGAAAAACAGCTCCTCAGCAAACTAAGAATAGAAGTGAACACCTTTACCAAAGGGCATCTTCAAAAACCCTAGAGCCGCATTACAGTTAATGGTGAGATACTGAATGCTTTATCTCTAAGACAAAACAATGCAAGGATGCCCTCTCTTACTACTATTACGATATGCACTATTGTTCTGAAAGTCCTAGCCAGTACAGCAGGGGAAGAGAAGGACATAAAAGACATAAAGATTGAAAAGGAAGGAATATAACTGTCGCTGTTTGCAAACATGATTATCTTAAGTAGAAAATGCCAAAGAATCTGCAATAAACCGCTTGCGTAGTACAGTTAGGTTAATGTGTCATATTCTACATTCCATTTTAGATTGCACCTCCCAGAATTTACATCCTGGTTGAATTCTATTTGTATACAGTAAAATTCACTCTTGTTTTTATGCCGTTATTTTGTCCCTTTATATATATATTTTTTTCAGTCGTGAATTGCGCTACTGTAAACATGCATGTGAAAATAACTTTTTCTCATAATCACTTTTCCTCTGAGTAGATACAGAGGAGTGGGATTGCTCGATCAAATGGTAGATCTACTTTTAGTTCTTTAAGGAATCTCCACACTGTTTTCCATGGTGGTTATACTAGTTTACATTCCTACCAACAGTATAAAAGTGCTCCCTTTTCACCACTTCCATGCCAACATTTATTGTTTTTTGATTTTTTTAATTATGGCCATTATTGCAGGAGTAAAGTGGTATCACATTGTGGTTATGATTTGCATTTCCCTGATAATTAGTGATGTTGACT